CGCAATCACGTGATTATCCTAAAGGTTGTTTAGCATGGATAGCAATGCTTAATTCGGATCCGGGTATTAGTGATAATAGAAATTTGATGATTCCTTTTATTATCGGTTCTCTAGGTGCTATGTTATTTTTATATTTCAATAAAGTGGGTGTTTTCTTTGTTGGAAGTAAGTATAAAAACTTCATTTCCCTAAATGGATTTTTTCACATAGTCTAAGTGTCAGTCCGATTCATTTATTCTTTTAGTATTGGGAGGATGTGCATTTGGCCTTACTACATTATCTGTTAAAGGTATGTCTCATGTCTCATTAGAATTCTATGTTTATACTTGTTTACAAATTTTCGTCCTTAATGTTATCCCCATAGACAATGGACTTTTCGCATCATACCAATACCGCCTTATCTATTTGGCAATACATGGTTTAATTGGCCTAGGGATCATGTATATTTACTGCCCAACCAGAAGAATTTGGCCTTTGGTATAAATTGTCTTTTAACTTTCTTTCACTTTCTGTGACCTTTCTTTTCATTTCCCTTACGTTCCGTTCTTTCCTCAAAGTGCCTATCATCAGCATTTTGTGGCTCATATGCAATAATTCTAGGTGTCGATCAAATATTAAGATCCGGATTTACAACTGCTCTAATTATTTATCTAGATTTAAATCAATCATATTCTAATATATTGAAATATAGTGTTAATGGAAAAATTTATGGTTTGTTGGGTGGTGTTTTTGTATTAGCGTAAGTTTTATTCTTTCTTACTATACAATGTCATTTACTGTACTATCATATATCATTCCTTCTTTTAATGAATTTTCTTTTCGCAAATTTAAACTTTGATCATTCTTTTTTAAATAGTGCTATAGGTTTCTACTTACAGTGGAAGATGTTATCTCCTATAATGCCACAAACAAGTGGTAACAGTCCACCAGCCATGAGAGATGATCTAGAAAAAATAGTGTACGAAATGAATCCCTCTATACGTAAATCAATGAGATCTAGTAAAGTTGACTTTAGAGATATGAATCAATTAGTTACTGTTAATAATGAAAAAGGTGATGCTGAAGGTCCGGAAATAGTAAATAATATTAGGTATATTGAAAATAATAATGTGAAAAATTCTAAATTTGATCTTAGTAATTCTTGTCATACGGATCCTGTTCAGTATATTGAAAATTACACAAATCCCACAAATAGTACTAGTAACATTGGAAAATATCGCGTAGGAATTCAGATAGAAAATGTGGAGGATGAAGAAGAGGAGGAGGAAGAAGAAGAGGAGGAGGAGGAAGAGTTTATGGCTGTGGCTATGTAGTAGAATAAATGTGTCAGTTTTATTATTTGTTTGTTTAGAAATATATGTTCTTAGGTTGTAATGGTGTAGAAAATACAGTAATATAATTTGAATAAAACTGTAACAAATAATTAAATTCTTCTAAATAGACATTGTCCCTTAAACCATCCGGTTTAGCAGACGAATTTGCCCACTTAAATAATTGGACGAAAATAGTGCATAAAATTTTTTTCTATGTCCCAAAGGCCCGAGTTACATGCCACACTCAATAACCGTTGTTGCATCATGCTTAGTCATGACTAGTAAGTTCTCTGACCAATCATGACTAGTTTTCGCTTTCCATATAAAGGGGATCGCTAAAGCCAACTACCCCAACAGCACCCACACGATTTCTGCTATCATGTAGATCTTGTGTAGCATCAATAAATATGATACGTATACGTACTGATGAAATAATATGTACCGTTATTAAATATACATAATTGATATTATATTAAATTTATTATTTTTTAATAGCAAAGCTTGTGATATATTTACTTTATTATTATAAAATACAATTTAACTGTATTTTATTAATATCAACATTGCAAATAAAAGTATTATTTTACTTTATATTTTAAAACTAAAAAAACAATGTATGACGATTATGATCTTTCCATGTTTGAGGATTTGTTGTTCTTCTCTTATATGTTTCAATATCTGTTACCATTTTTTGTAATCCTGCAAAACTGCTTTTTACAGATTTTGCCCATTTATAATTTTGCTTTGCCTTTTGCTCTTGTACAATTTCAAGTGCTTTAGTAAGATATAGCTCATAGTTTTCATATAAATCATCTGAATCATTATCATCACTATTTTCATAATTTTCCAACTTCTCAATACTTTCAATATTAACTATTACATTGGGTTGATTTTCTTTATCTTGTTCAATATTAAATATTGAATTTGTATTTTCTTGAAAAGATTGTGATTGTGATACTATAATATAAATTACTTTGTATTAAAATTAAAATCAGATCTATTTTATTTAATAATTAAATATATATTACCTTTTAAAGTTGGTAAAAAAATAAACGGATATTTTCCTTGCCATTGAACATGACGAAAGAATTTTGAATTTGTATTGAACTTGCATTTGTGTATAAGATGTTTGCAAATAAAGAATCGACTCAATAAAAAAGATTTACAATTGCATATCCATTGTTCAGTATCTACAAAATAAGTATTGTTGATATTTCTTTTACTAAGAGCTTGCCATTCAGATTTAAAATTTTTTCACCATGAAACCTTTTCTCTTTTATTAATATATTTTTGATATTGCACTTGACAATGTAGAATAAGCTGTGAAATATTACTAAATCAATACGTGGACAATAAAATTTAGGTAAATAATCGTATTTAACTACTTTCTAATATGATTTAATAAGCATTATTGTACATAATATACAAATTTTAGTTGAAATTGATGAGCGTGCCCAAAGAATCTACATATTTTTTTGATACCAGTAAGTTCATAAATAGGCCCACAAGTGTTTTAAATCATTATTGACACATAATTAATACATTTCGTAAACTAAAAATTTCCAAATTTGTTGATATGATAAAAAATTTCCATTAAAATCCAGAATAAGTAAATGTAAATGAAAATGTTTATTTATTGTTTTGATAATAATTAATCATAGATTTTTTGCGCAAAAAATAAAGTTATATTTTTTTTGCTCTTTTTTAGATAAATCCAATAATTGAGAATAGAATTCTTTATCAATAAAATTGAATATATTATGAGCGTCATTTGAACTATAAGTGATTGTTCTTGGTAGTGTATTATTAGAAAGTCATTTTTTGATAGCTTTTTTTAAATGCTATAAACAAATTTGTACTTTCACATTTGGCCAAGTTGATCGAGCAGCAGATATTTGACTGAAGTCTTTATCCGTTAAAAAAAAGGTAATATTATCCATTCCAAGCATTTTAAGTTGCTGAAAAAAATATTTTAAAATATCTATACGTGCTCCATTGTCTTTCTTTTTACTATCAATAAATAGATACACCATTGTGAATCTAGCTCCATCAAATTGTTCAATTATTAAATAGAGCTCAAAATCTAATGCATTCGTCTGATCTTTAATTTAAAAATAATTAAATTAATAAAAGTAATATTATTAATTTATTAGCTTTAAATTATACTTACATGTTGTATCAACTACGATTTCTTTGTTTTTTAATAATAGATTAAAAAATGGAGTTATGAATCCAAGATATTTAATACCCTCCATAATATTTTCCAGCACAATTGAATAATTATATTCTTTAAGAAGAATTTTCATAGAATTTAGCTGTTTATTATTATCATAAACATATTTTTTCTTGATAAACTTATTCTACTATGCATGTACTTGCTTTTGCATAAAATCAGGATAATTTGACTCTAGCTGTTTATAAATATCACTTGATATTAAATATATATATTTCTTAATATGTTCCTGAACTACATTATCAACTTCAAATCGCTCTGGTCATTTATGCAAAAAATTATATTTAAGTCAAATTTTTGCAAAGTTGCTATTCATATTAATAGAAATATAAAGTGTGCCTTTATATACAAATTGTTTTATACTACCATGATCTCTTTGTTGCTCTAAATCCTTATATTTTTGAGATCTTTTGTTAAGTGTTTGACATTGAGAACAATAATACCAGAATGAATGACTTTCAAGAACCTTTTTTAAATCATAACTTTTTTTGTAACTATATAAATATTGATAAATAAATATTTAATACTATAATATAAGTACAGTATATTTTAATATTATATACTTACATGTAATTATATCCGTCCTCTTGTTTAACAAGTTCGGCTATTTTTTTAGAAAGTTTATGAGGATCGTTTATAGTATCTAATTCCAATAAACATGAAAATTCTATTCCCATATTGTTATTTTCCATATAGTTATTAGAGATGATAGCACATATTTCATCATACAGTTTTAATGGTAACTTTTCTAAAAGAATCATTTCTTCTTGATTATTATCATTATCAGTTTGATCATTATGATTATTAATCTCCTGCTTTTTTATTTTATATATATGTAAAGACTGAGTGCAACATATAGAACAGGATTTTACTTTTTTCTCGGATTGATTTAAAAACATTAATTTTTCAAGTATCCGATAGTATTTAGTACATTTATCTATAAGCGAAGCCATTTTTAATAGAAAAAAATTTTAATCAAAATGAAATCAAAAAAAAGAAAATTATTTATTACATTGTATTTAAGATTCTCTTTTTAAACTCAGATAAGTTTATATTAAATTATTGTAAAACCATGCTAATAATAAATTAATAGACTAAAAGGTTTCAAAATATGCAATTCCAATAAGTTTAAATATAAAAAATAAAAACTATCTTTTATACTAAAAAGAATAGAGGTTAAAAAAAATATAAGATAGGTAAGTAATTAGCTCAAAGAAACTATTAAAATTTTAATATTAATATAAGGTAATTGCTTATAATTAGCTCAAAGAAACTATTAAAATTTTAACATTAATATAAGATAATCGTTTATAATATTTAACCCATCAAAAATGTAATAATTAACAAGTCTTGAACAATTATCTGGACTAATATAGAATTGAAATGGTTCAGAATCACGATCTGTAGTTTGGAAACACGATCTATAATTCAAAATCTTAATTAATATATATCTCAATTTTTTAAGTATTGCAGCTAAAGTTGAAAGTTCTAAAATTAGTAATCCCGATCTGAAACACGATTCGAGAAAATTTTGACTAAAATGAAACAAGTATCACAATAATAAAAATTTAAGTTTTTTTAAACTTTGCGCAATAATGTCTTGAGAAATATCCATTTAAGAAGAATGATAGAAAAAAATTTTATTGTTATATTTTCGTCTAAAGTTTGAAAAAAATATATTATCATTATTGCTTATCATTCCATCAATATTGATATTACACAAGATCTACATGATAGCAGAAATCGTGTAGGTGCTGTTGGGGTAGTTGCTAAAGCCTTGTACTCACGTGATTTT